GCCCCTTTCATTTTCGTACTTTTCTGCTGTTCCGTGTCAGCGTTCTATTTTGAGGTTATGTCACAAATATCTATGTGCATCAAATTGTTCATTCATTAGATTTATTTTATCATCTGTTTTATCAGCCTGAAATTACTTACAATTCAAAAACCAAACATAGCTTTACAATAGGAGAGCGCTGACGCTGACAGGGAACAGTAAAAATATAGAAACAACCCAGCCTTTCAGAAGGAGAGAGAAGACTATGAAAATCAAGGAGGCCTTAAAGGCGTCCTACAATTCATTGTAAGAACGACTGACGATACGGTCCTGTGATGCAAAACTCACAAAGATATCGGCCATATTGTATTTTAACATTACTTTGCTATTCTTGAATATAAAAGCATGCTTTAATGACTTTAACGGTATAAAATGATGTTTCTGCAAAAAACTATGAATAAAATCAATAGGCTTTAGGTGATCGGTTGTAAAAAATACACAAAATGACAAATGCATTCACTGTAAGAAATCATGAGATAGCTTTCATTTTTTTTGTATTTTGATCAGATTATGCAATGCCGTTAATATTACCCAAATTCGTTAGATGCCTCTTCACACAGGAAGCTTTCTTCCAGAAATATACTTTGAGGGTAGACATTCTTCAATAACCGAACGAGGCATACATTCGAGGGAGGAAGGGCTAGTACGTAATAACCCCAAAACGCGTTGAAGAGTAAAAAACTGCTCCGACAGCGGCCAGAGGAACTTTTCTTATGTTCTCCAAACTATTTCAAAAGCAGGGCCAAATCACAGTTCATGAGGCGACCGCACTCTCACGGGTGTAACGGTCCGCCGTCCTCCTCCAGGGCGCGCATGCATCCGTACACTTCAGTCTACTACTGGCTTGCAATGGTTTGATCTATACTAAGTGACATATAAATCCGAACACCCAGTTTAAATGGTTTTATTTTGATAAAATTTTGTATAAGTACTTAATGAAGCATAATAAGTAAATGATAAAAATTTCAAAATGATTCCACTGCTTTAAAGCCCTTTGACCTTTAATAATATGTGGATGCACCCTGATGTGCTACGCATCCTCCAACGCGCCTAGGCACGCTTCTGATCAGGTGGTCAATGTCCTTCTGTGGTATCTCATTCCAGGCAACCACCAACTCCTCTCGAAGTGCTTCTAGAGTCTGAGGAGGATGTTGCAAATTGAGCAATCTCCTACCCATCATATCCCACACGTGCTCAATTGGGGATAAGTCGGGAGATCTTGGTGGCCATGGTAACAATGTGACATCATTATGTTGAAAGAAGTCTATTGTGACTCTTGCAACATGTGGTCGGGCATTATATAGTTGGAAAGTTGGATCTGCCAGGGTGTCAAGATAGAGTAAAAGATGGGGTTCTAGAATTTCGTGGATATAACGCTGCGCGTTCATGTTACCTCTGATGAAGATTAAAGGTGACCTGGAACCATAAGCTATAGCACCACAAACCATAACTCCAACAGTGTGATGAACATGTCTTTCAACAAAAAACTGTGGATTCCTCCTTTCACCACGTCGCTTTCTAACCCTTACACCGACGTAATCGCCTTGAGTGGTGCAGACAACGGTCACTCTGGGATCAGGAATGGAACAGTATTGTCTTTAGTGACGAGTCTCGATTTTGTTTAGGCATGCACGATGGTCGTGCCAGGGTTAGGAGGCGACGTGGTAAAAGCAGGAATCCACAGTTTTTTGTTGAAAGACATGTTCATCACACTGTTGGAGTTATGGTTTGGGGTGCTATAGCTTATGGTTCCAAGTCACCTTTAACCTTCATCAGAGGTAACATGAACGCGCAGCGTTATATCCACGAAGTTCTAGAACCCCATCTTTTACCCTATCTTGACACCCTGGCAGATACAACTTTCCAACAAGATAATGCCCGACCACATGTTGCAAGAGTCACAATAGAATTCTTTCAACATAATGATGTCACATTGTTACCATGGCCACCAAGATATCCCGACTTATCCCCAATTGAGCACGTGTGGGATATGATGGGACTCTAGAAGCACTTCGAGAGGAGTTGGTGGTTGCCTGGAATGAGATACCACAGGAGGACATTGACCACCTGATCAGAAGCATGCCTAGGCGCGTTGGAGAATGCGTAGCTTATCAGGGTGCATCCACATTAAAGGTCAAAGGGCTTTAAAGCAGTGCAATCATTTTGAAATTTTTATCATTTACTTATTATGCTTCATTAAGTACTTATACAAAATTTTATTAAAATAAAACCATTTAAACTGGGTGTTCGGATTTATATGTCACTTAGTATATAATCATTCTAAGTAATGACGTCGGGAGTTAAAAGAGTTCGGTGCATTTTTGTACTGCATTAAACGTTTCCTTGTTACGCCACAGGCGCCTGCACCTTGTAGCATGTTAAAATTTTGCGATATAAGTATAAAGAGATGATGCGCTTACATCGACCGTGCATGTTAGAGTCAGACATGTTGATTGCAAATTTTCCAGTTTGGGACTCAATGATACGCCACTGCCTAGGTCGAGAAATAGGGATCGTTACAAGTGTGGTTTTGCAAATCTTCCAGAGTGCGCCACGGCTTGACTTTACTACGGAATTTTTCAACGTTTCGGGATTTAGGAGTGACCCCGTTTTTTTCTTTGATAGATAACTCTATACATACGATACCGTCAGTAATTAAGGACATTATAATGTGATGCCATTGTCCGGTCTACCAATGGATTAGCATGATCGTTTCTCGCTTCTTTCGAATCGTTGTGATTAGTTTTCCAGTGCAGAAAAAGTTATCCCTCCATCTGTCATTGACACACGCTGTTCCAGATTGGCCCCAAGGTCAGGTGTCATTCTGTCTAGACTCTGAATGGTGCGATTATCAGAGGCATCTGCCGGATGTGCATAAAGGAGATTTCCTCGAGTTGTCGCAGCCAGTCCGTTGGGAACAAGTGGAACAAAAATATAGGAACCCTTATGACAGTGCTCGTTTTTTTTATCATGAACAGCCAACTGCTTACTCCTTGGTCCTGTACTAGTAGCCTTGTGACTGGAGATAAAGCACTGATGCAGAGCCTGTGTAACTGTCGCTGTTTAATACATTTATAAATCAGAATTTATATATTTTCAAGCAAAAATGTTACAGCTACAGATTTTCTGCATAAGTAGTATTCCACTAGCTTCATGTTGCGATTTCAGCCTCCATCACCGGTCGCCCTGTCCGCGTGGAACGGCATCTTATTACAGATCCTAAAGTTTAATTCCTTTGTGACACCCTATACTAAAATTGTATAGATTAGCAAAATTTATCCGCAATTAACAACGCTTTTCCCAAGGCACTCAAAAGAAAATCTAGAATACCATTTAAAATAACTTGGCAAAGGTAAATGTACTTCCTTCCTGATTTAAGTTCCCTCCGCGCGTTTCAGATCATGATGAAGAGAGGGTGCTTTGCGGGGGGTTGGCGGATAGGAATTATGAAATTATTATGAGATTTCTCCAGGATTTGTCTCACAGGTAGCGCCAAATGCTGTTGTAGTACAGTCAATTGTAAGTTACAGCATATGTTATTTGGAACCTGATGTGGGGGTGTTTTTTTTAATAAAGTGAAGTAATAGCAATGGCGAGCCAAAGAGTAGCATCCAGACCACCTGTGACCATCTGTACTGATTTTATACATGAACATTTAACATCAAATATAAGTCTTCTCTATCAAACTACTTCATGTCGAATATATTCACTCTAAGACCTCCATACATGATACTATGCCTAGCAAGTAAAATCTTGTTTCATCATTTGCTCAGTACTTGGAGCAAATAAGATTTTTCCTATCCTCATCGGAGTTGGTATCTACTCAATTTGCAGTGGCGTGTGATCACTAGGCAGCTAGCGGCTCTTCAGATTTGTTCGCCACGCTTAAGAGGCCCAGTTGTAACTTCTTGACTCGGCCAGAAGCATTCCTACTTAACCATACTTCCGGCACTTCCGTAGGGGTTAAATCGTTCAAAACAGTATTAACTTGGCAGCGGCTAATTTCCACGTAAGGGTCAATAAATCAAAAAGTCATTCCGATTGCTGGAAAGTCTTGAAATTTCGGGAATAACCATAGTTCCGATAGCGTAAATCGTAATTCTTGTTTTTAGTGAAACATTGTTTTGCACAGGTAAAATCTTAATATATCCTATATTCTTTAAAAGTGGCATAAATATAATCACCACATAAATTTGTTAACACGTATATGTCTATTAAAATTAAAATCTGTTCTTAGTAACAACGCGTTTTCTCTAGCCAAAACTTGCTTTCACTAGTCATAACTAGAGAACACGAGTTCTGCCAAAGCCAGCTAAAACTGTCTTAGCCGAAGTTAAAGGTCCTCTTGACTCTGATTGATTGGTTTGTTTTTATTAAGCTGCTTTTGATGTTTCTATAAACATTTTAATTTCTTTAGAATAATATTGTTGCTATCCGATTACTCTTGTATTTTGATATTCTTGAATGCTATGATGATCCCAAAGAAATTTTGTTAATACGATTTTTGAACTGCCCAAGGTTAGTAGAACTGGGAAAAGCCTCCTCTTGTAGATTGTTCCACAATCTCGACACCCGCGGGACATAGGAGCGGTCGTATCGGCCAGTTCTGGATTTACTAAGTTCGACCCGGTTAGGATTGGACGCCAAAGTCAGCCGGGTCTGTCTTGCAGGCACATCGCGTGGCGGAATCATGGAAGAGAGCTCTGAGGAGCAAAGCCGTTACTGCCGAGAGTACAACGCCAAACAACTGGGCTCTGAAAAGCATGTGACGTCTCGCGGAGTAGGCCTATGCATGTTTTTATGGAGTTTCGCGATGACTGGCTGGCAAGAGGACCGTGCCACCATTTCTCTGGCGTGTTGTCATATCTAGGCTTGATATAGCAGTATCGAAATCTCTACTAATTAGCTGTACCTCTCTGTGGGCGAATTTGCAAGATGTACTCGGGGCCTGCGCAGCTTCAGTGATGATGTGATTATTCTTTCTGATCTGCCTCAGTATGTCAAGAATACATTTTCGATATTACGTTCAATCTGTCACTTGTGAAGTCTAATATTCCATTCAAAATTGGAATATGTGGCAACCTTGCCAACTAACCTCACATTCTGAGCCTCATCTTTCTGTGCTTTGTAAACTGAAAGTTACTGATGTTTTAAACTTGTATTTGTGTCTCGCGATTGTTTAGCTAAGTTTTCAAAATGCCTTACAAGTGCTGCGTTGCTAATTGTGTCGGTAATTACGGGAAGGGTCCGAAGGTACACGTATTTTCGTTTCCATTGAACGAAAAATGTCGTAAAAGATGGATCAATGCAATCCCTCGTAGTGATTTAGTGGTTACAAAATACACCCGAGTATGTAATTTCCACTTTGCTGAGGACAGCATCATTTGAGAATCCACCTTTCATGACGAAAAGACAGGTAGGACCATTACTGTACCCCTTCAGTATCCAAAATTAAAGGCAGATGTAATTCCAAGTATCTTTGCAAATTGTACAAAATAACTTTCAAAGGACATCAAGCAGAAGCCGAGATCAGAAATTGAGGGATAAGGAACAAGAGCAACTACTTAAAGCACTGCACACTAGCATTGATGATTATTCCTCCTATCAAAAATCAACTTGTTTTCAAAATTGTTCAGATTTTCTCACAGTTTGCAGTTCATGGCAATGTCCATATGGGTAGCATAAAATTGTTCAGGATAAAGTTACTTTGTTTAAGTGAGAATATAAACCAGCACCCATCATAACTCACTCTGTAATTGTTGATAAAGATCTGAATGTACGTAAAAACGTATATGTACTCCCAAGAATTGTTACTCAACTCAGGTAATATTAAAACTCCATTTTTATTATCTAATATACACCACTTGGATGATGTTCTGCATGTTCTTTCTGAGAATGCAGATGCTTCGAGGGAATATTCAGAGCCACTATCAACCATGCTTACAATATTTTAAATAGCACAGAACTATTCACCGATGAAGAGACCCACACTGTCATTCAATTTATTTGTGAGCAACTAAAGCTTGCTATTAGTCAGAAGAACAGACACAGTTACTCATCAGAAACGATAGTGTTTTTCTCTATGTTGTATACAATCAGTCCATATTCATATAGATTTATTAGGAGCCATGAAGCACTTATTTTACCACACCAAAATACTCTGAAGTCAATATGTAATAAATACATTGATGGTCGATTCAGTTCCCGATGAGAGATATAACTTTTTAGGCTATGCAAAAAACCTTTTCAGATTTGTAAAACCTGGTGAGGAGTAAGTACATGATTTTATTGATGGATGGAATACACATTCAGGAATATTTAGATTTCAAAGGGGGTAATATTGTTGGAACGTTAATTAGTACTTCATTAGCTACAACAGCCTATGTGTTTATGATTTCAAGCTTCTACTCCAATTTCAAAGAAGCTGTTCAAATCTGTCCTGTTTCTAAAATTGATCATAATCTATTATACAATATGACAAAAAAACTTATTATTGGATTAGAAGAACCTGGTTATAAATTTTTTTGTGATGTAAGTGATAATAATGCACTGAATAGAAAGCGATGGCACATTTTTATCCGGATGCCTGCAAATATTTTTGAAATTGAAAGCAGAATAAGGTAAAACGTCAATTAGTTGACAGTTAGTTTTGTTGTCTGTTGAAACCTGAACGTTTTTTTGCAATTGTGAATGCACGAAATTTAGTTTCTTTTATCTGTTTTTCTTTGTAAGTTTTATTAAAATGCCATTTTTATTCTCAAATCAAGAGTTAGTGGATATTCATTTTGTGTATGGCTTTGTAAATGGAAACGCAGCAGAAGCAGCCAGAGAATACGCACGAAGATCTCCAAACAGACGACATCCAACTCGCTCAGTATTTGTAAGAGTGCATCGCCAAATAATTGAAAATGGTTTTGGAAATCTCCAAAGGGATCAAAACATAAATGTTCGTCAGCGCAGATTTACCCGTATGATTCTGCGTGAATTTGATAGAGATCCGACCACAAGTGTTGGGAGAGTTTCTGCTGCCTTGGGAATTTCAGCAAGCCATGTTCACCGTGTTCTTAGAAATGACCATAGACGTCCTTACCATTTGCAACCTGTGCAAGGACTACAGCCAGGGGACGGAGAACGAAGAATCACATTTTGTCAGTGGATTCTTGATAGAACTGATAATAATAGGGAGTTTTTAAGTAACGTTTTATGGACCGATGAGTCATCCTTCACTAGACGTGGAGTGGTAAATTTTCATAATCAACATCAACGAAAATTATCCAGAAAGATGGATCGGCCGTGGAGGACCAGTCGCCTGGCCTCCACGATTCCCTGACCTAAATCCATTAGATTTCTTTGTGTGGGGATTTGTAAAAGAAAAAGTGTACCAAACTCCCGTAACCACAAGAGATATGCTAATAGACAGAATCAGGAATGCATGTGATGAAATAAGGCCTTATCTGAATAATGCTATACCACGTTCGACCATTCGTAGATGTGAATTGTGTATTGAACAATTGGGTTTACATTTCGAGCAACTACTTTAGATTTTGTTTATTTGTCCTAACTATCCAATAACATTTTAGTTGTAAATAATTAATTTAATTTGTTAAAAATAATATTGGAAAATTAAACGAATTAATATTGTTTTTTTGTTTATTTGGAGTTAGGAATTATTGTTGTGTTTAAAAACACAATCTAAACGATCATCTTAATTACTTGTAATGCCCAAATCGAAAATGTAAAAAAAATATTATTTTCCATAAATAATTAAAAATGCTTCGACCCCTAAAAATCGAAATATCTCAAAAACGGCTAACTATAACGAAAACTCATAGAAGAGCTTTTTTATGTTGAAACATGCGAAGAATCAGTTTTTTTATCCAAAAAGCAAAAAATTGCACTAAGAAAAAATTTTCGGTCATTTTAATACACTACAGGTACAATAGAGAGCGCCCTCTAGCGGCTACAGTAAAACTATGCCCATGGTTCATTTTGTCGTACCAAAAAATCCTTGTATACCAATTTTCACTGGTATACATCAAATATTGTTCGAAATATTTAAAAAAAAACTATTTTAGAAAGTAAATTTAAACACCCTGTATTTCAGAAGCCACGCATTTTTTGACCCATATTTATATAGACTTTATGCATTAATTTTAAAAGTTCTATCGAATCTTAAAGTTATGCAACAATAAACTGAAACACCCTGTATATCAATTCGTCAGTTATATGAATCTGAGAAAAATTTACGAACTCAAAACCTGATGTCTTTGAATTATTGTGCCAAAAGGAACGACAGCTTTGCAAGCGCGAATAAAGCAAAGAAACGTGAATTGACTACATTCACATGAGGCCGGATTTGTACATATTCAGAATTTAGCACTTTAATTTTCGTTATTCTAATTTTTGTTATTTTTGATACTTGTTTTCTGTTTTCTAATTTTTGTTAGTATTTTGTGCTGTTATTTGTTGTTGTTTTTATTAAGTTTTCGTTAATCTTTGTTATGTTTTTTACTGTTGTTTATTTTACTTTGCTTTTATCTGTTTTTCTTATCATTTATCCTACACTTTTTCCTCCTCATCTTCCTTATTCCTTTCCTGGCAAGAGCTTACCTCAGACCTCCTCGTTGGTTCTTGCTGGACACAACTGTTCTACAAGCACTACAATTTTTATATAATTTTCAAGTACCATTATATTATACCTGTAATAATAGCAAGTTGCCCACATATTCCTGTGAAATTTTGTTGATCGGTTGTTACTAACATGGGGTTATTCATTGAAGAATTTATCATTTTTAGCAAGCTTTTATAACATCAACGTATTAATCTAATATGCACGTAATTTTGGATGAAGTATCAGTGAAAATCAGGGTGAAAATAGTGAATAACTACTTTAATATTTTCCACCAAGTTGCCTTCATATACCAAAAACACTTTTCTGAATTATCCGTTATTTTCATCAGGTAGGGTATATTAAATATGCTTTAATATTTTCCACCAAGTTGCCTTCACATACCAAAAACACTTTTCTGAGTTATCTGTTATTTACATCAGGTAGAGTATATTATGCTGCAATAATATATTATTCACTAGCGCTCATGTACGGCACGCCGTGCTGTCGGCCGGCCGACCGGCCTACTCGTGGTGACGTCACGCGTCTGTTGTCAGGCCTTGTACTCTCGGTGGTAACGGCAAAGCCCGTTGGCGTAGCGGCAGAAAGGAGCTAGATCACCGACAGTCCGCTGGTGCGAAAGAGTTCCGAGACTGTCTGCTAGAAAAGAGTCATCGATCAGTCGGATCGCCCTCCTCTGGACAGCATCGAGCATAAATAGTGTAGTCTGGGCGGCAGCACCCCAAACGATTGAGCAATACTCGAGGCTAGGCCTTATCTGGGCCTTGTATATAGTGAGAAGGTCATGCGGAGAAAAGTACTTTTTAGCCCTAAACAAATAGCCTAGCTTTTTCCCAGCAGCTGCCGCTATTGACGAGATGTGTTCGTGCCAGATCAGGTCCTCGATGATCGGGACTCCGACCAGCCGAAATAAATGGCTCTCTGGCAGCGCTCGGCCATCCATCGAAACCGGATGAGCGCTAGGACGCTTTTTGTTCGTCAAACTATAGTACTGTGCTTTGGAAGCATTGTTGCGTCCCCAAGCTGTGATAACCTCCAGGTTTCTCGTCAGAGAGGAAGTCGTCCTTAGTCTTCTTTCTTCCAGCTCAGCTGCAGAGATCGGCTTGTCGCTCTGAATTCCTGCATCTAGAGTGCTGTCATCAGAAAAGCTGTGGATTGAGTTGATCGTACAGGAAAGGAGGTCGTTGATACGTTAGAGGAACAGTATAGGAGCCAAGACCGATCCGTGGGGAACACCCGCGTGGACGTTGCGGGATGAAGAGAGAACCCGTCAATTACGACGGATATCTTGCGGCCAGAGATAAAGTCAGTCACTCATCCGCAAAGCTTTTCTGGGAGGCCAAAGGATGGAAGTTTGCTTAAGAGGGCAGCGTGCCACAGCTGATCGAACGCTTTCGTGATATCAAGAGCAACGACATGAGCCTCACCATAAAACTGGATGAGTTCACTCCACAAATGTGTGACGTAAGCTAGAAGGTCCCCTGAGGATCTTTGGTACCGGAAACCATACTGCCTGTCACTAATCAAACTGTGACGTTCGAGGTATTCGAGAAGCTCACGATTTATGCACCTCTCCATCACCTTACTTATAACAGAAAGCAGAGCTATAGGCCTGTAGTTGTAAGGGTCTGTCATAAATCCTATTTTTGGGATGGTTTGTAGATGAGCAAATTTCCAGTTTTCTGAGAAGACTACCGGCATGTGACGAGACGCGTGGAAAAAAGTAGGGCTCGTTAGCAGCTGGGTCAGCCCTTGAGTAAGAGCGAACGCTTCGACTGCACGAACTGCTGCATCGGTCTTGTTTGAGCCCAACCGAAGCTCATCATGGGCATTGAAATCACCGAGAAGAACTACTTCTGAAGCGGGGTGATTGATGTTCAGGAAGTCGATCTTGACGGCGAGGTATTCCAGCAGGTCATCCCAGTTATGGCCCGATGGAGAGCGATAAAGGCAGCAAATAAATTTGTGTGACGTCTTGGAGTTGAGGCGAAGCCACAGAATGTCCTTCTGGTTTGATTTTAAAGAAACATCTCTGGAGCAGGACAAAAGCCACAACTCCCCTATTCTTTCTCAGATTGGAGTGCACCTCGTAGTTTGGGTAGTTAAGATGGTTCATCGGTGCAGACCCTGAGATTTTTGT